TGAGACATTTCGGTTAGAATGTTGAATTTAGATATTGAAGAAGTCAGTTCAATATCAAAAAAATGAACTCAACCGAAAATACATTTATATATGCCGGATATAGCAACTTAGTAAGAATGGAAAGTAATCGGAATGCTTGATCTCACAGATGGAGTGTCTTATTTTCAAATCGTGGGGACTCCATGTATCATGGAGCCATGGAGATTATCTTGGAGCCATCATTTTTATATTTAATAAAATGATTAAAAAGATTGCGAGTTTATCGATCGAAACTCAAAATCATGGAGGAAAAATATTACATTGTTGATTTTTCTGCTGAAGAAAAGTTTATTAATCAAATTATGATAAATTTTAATATTTGTGTTATTTAATCGTACTACAATGAACTTTCTTCAAAGCACATATCTCAGAACTATCCTGTTGATTAAATCCTATAATCCTATATCCTGTTGATTAAAACATATAACATTGCTGAAAGAGGCCGGATGGCTGAGTGACTAATTCTCTGGCACCCTGTGCCACACTTTTAGGATTCGAGTCCCAGCGATGGTATGAATGCTTGAAGTGGTTCGAAATCAACTTTAAACCATAGGGACCGGTCTTATATGACTGTTAGACGTAGGGCTGACAATCTTACCCTATAAAAAGAAAACATCTCATGTCTCGAAATTTGCCAGTAGCCCATCATGGGGCTGTTGCGCCAATGAAGAAGAAAATGGGTGAGAATTGTGTCATGAGAAAAGTTTAAAGATTCAGTTTCAGTTCAGTTCTTATGCCTAATTTTCTTTTCTACACACCTCACCCCCTGACAAAGGACTATATATCCTCCTACCAATTAGAAAGATGAGGGTGAAACATCGCTGGGTCTCGTGTATACCACCAGCAACCTACCAACCGGTAATAAATGAGGACAGTGCTTTCCAGGAGTATTTTTAGGTGTAACTGCCCCAAATTTGCTCGTAGTACATGAAAAAACCCGGAAAACTCCCATTGGGCAGTGTGACTATCGATATGAGAAACATTGACCCAATCATAGTTGAGTCTCCTCGTTTTTGAAAGCAGTGACTACAAGCATGCATTCAGCTGATTCGAACCTCAGTCTTCCTGCACTCTAGGCTAACCAGCGTCTCTAACCCACGAGTCAGTTTATGCCCAATTTAGAAGATTTAATTAGTTTTGCCACTTTTGACTATCTTTCATAACTGTAGTTCGGTGGATCAATTGATTTCAAGAGCCCCCGCAATTTGGAGTGAACACCCCATTAAATCATTTTCTGATTAAACCATGCCTGTACCTTCCTCCTAATCTGCCCACGTTCGATTACTTTGTGTCTTAGAGTTTTTTAATGTACCTGGCTTGAACACTGAACTTTTGGTTCAGTTCATTTTCCGAGAATTTCAACTCACCATGCTAGGGCACTTTTCTAATACCATTAAAAATAATAAATATGCACTTTGTGACTGGTGTTTTACTACCCTTTTCCAAAATGCGCAATAATGCTTAAAAGCACTATAGGAAATCATTTCTTCTCTTTTAACTTTTTAATTGTGTAATATAGGAAAATAATTTTAGTTGGTATATTCTGAATGAGGTGTAGTTGTAGTTGTGAATAAATTACCATCGAGCATTTTAACAAAAGAATGGAATAAACGTAAAGTTTATTAATAAATATGAACAAATAATTAAAAAATTAAAAGACAAATCGGGTGAGTTATGATTGTTATAGCTGATTTTTAAAAAAAATTGGATAGATTTTTTTCTATTTAGTTTTTTTGTTAGAAGTTATTCTTATTTTATGAAACTGAATAGATATTTTTAACATCGAAACACTTGCGGATATTTTCTCTGGAGAATCAATACCACTTCAGTTAAAAAACATTAAGATCTGTATTTTATTAAAAGAAATAAATTTTTCTGCGCGGAAAATCAGATTATTTTCTTCAGTTTCATTATAATTTTTCTTAAACTATAACTTTAACCTTTAATAGAAATATAGCAGGTGTATTAAATGACAAGAACATACAAACTAATATGAAAATGACATATTCATCTGCTAAGTTAATCTGGTAAATATTTTCAAAACAGATTAACTAATTAATTAACATTTGAATTATTTTCAGATTTCTGCTACAATTTGAATTAACAACGACTTCAACGTCTAAAGAAATATCGCAGATAGATTCTTTATTATTGAGTGTATACTTATTACTATAATGAAATAAACGGCCTGAAACAATTTGAACTTTATAATTCTTCATTTATAATTATACTGCAGTATTTGCAGGTAAGATAAAAAAAATATATAATTTTATGATTAAATAATAAATAATCTATACTGTCTCTATACATTTCATGGCAATAATATAATTTTGAAACTGTATTTTTCTTTAACTGTATTGAAAAACAGTTGAGATTATTGTTATGATTTTGAGAAATACAAGTTAGTGATTATCTCTCTTTGATAAAGAAATATAAAGTTCATTACTAACACATTATTTTTAAATAGAACAACATTACTTTTACAACATTATTTTTTACAACATTATTTTTAAATAGAAATCAATATTTACTTTAATAATGTTAAATTGTGTACTAATAGTTTTAAGTTGTAACTGTTGCAAACATAGTGAATTTTCTAATAGAATATAGCAAAAAAAAAAAAAATGATGATATAATGTAACTGAATTAATATAATAATTTTCTGCAATGAACAAAATTAAACTCATAAAGATTAAATTATTTTAGTTATTTCATGTGCAATGTAAATATATTTAACTCTGATATAATTCATTGATTGATATAATTCATTATTTCAAATACTTTGATTTATATAACAATAATCGTTTAATTCCACGCAACTTATAATAAAAAGAGAAATAATAGGATACAAGATCTTCACAAAGGTTAATAATAAAAGTGTGTACTTATTAAATAAAATTATAAAAAATCATTTCAATTCATTATAAAATATCATTAATACTTCTATTTTAATTCTCATAATGTATCAACATTGTTAACCATTGTCAAAACCCATACCACATCTCACACACTAAACCCCAATTGCCTCATGTCGATCAAATCACATCAACATGCTCCGGTATATATAACAGCAAACATAAACCCCATGCCATGCTATCGAGCCAATTTTCCAGATATTGATCACGTTTCTTAATGTGTATCTTTTAGAGATAATTATTTTTCAACTTACCTCAGGTCCACTGACGATGGTAAGCTAGCTTGATTCCTGAGGAGACGTGTATTTGGCACAGACTCTGAAGATGTTGATCATAACGTACTCCCAGTGGTATCAAATACACTATGTTAGTTGCTACAAAACGATGAGTCTTTTGATCCAGCAGGGAGAATGTTGGTTGCCAGATGTTTGGCGACGAGTGGGCACGATGCGTCGCCAATCCACTCGCCAAGCAGCCGTTTTTGAAGAATAGTTGAGACTGTCGATACAAAAGCGAGCCATTAAACCTCTGAATAGCCCAACGGTTCCTGAATACAAATAAGTCAATGGACTCCACCATAGTAATAAATAAGCTCTTCAGAGATTTAAAGATTTCGTTGAGAACGTTCTAAAGCTATACAAAACTTTTCCCTTTTAATGAGTTTTTAACTAATTTGCTGCTCATTCATGGAGTCCTGACGTAAATAAACTTCGAAATGAGAAATTTTGTTAAAAGTTTAAAAGTAGCTACTGATTGCAAATGAAGTTGTAAAGGACATAAATAATTAACAAACTTCTTTCGTAAAATACAACTGAATATCTGAGCAATCCTTTACACGATAAATGAAATGACAACAGAAAGATTTTTTAATTATTGATTCACTGAAAATTATTTATTATCATTACTACGTTAAAGATTCTAAACATGAAATTATAATGGTATTGTCGTTTGAATGTGAAATGTATAATTCTGCCAATGTGGAAAATTCTTAAGTGGCCAGGTCAGATGGACTATAAAAGAGAGGAGTCATAGGGAAAAAAATATTTATTTAGATGTGATTTTATTGAAATAAAAATAATTTTAATTTTTTATAATTAAAATTGTAGGATACACGATATTAAAATATAAGAATGATAGCGAAGAAGATTATTAAACTGCCAATCAGATGGACTCAAAAAGAGCGGTATCGTAAGAAAGAAAATGTCATTTAGGTGAGATTTTAATTGAAATGAAAGGAATTTTAATTTTTAGTTATTAAAATTATAGGTTGCACGATATAATAATATACGAATGTGTATTCCACTACCGATAGTGCGGAAATGTCTTAAGCAGCCAAGTCAGATGGACTCTAAAAGAGCAGCATCATAGGGAAGAAAATGCCATTTAGGTGATATTTTAATTGAAATGAAAAAAATTTTAATTTTTAGTAATTAAAATTTTAGGTTACTCGATATTAAAAGCGAAGAAACTAGATAGAAAAAATTTCACATTAACTATTTATTATATCTTTATCAATACAAGTTTGTACCGTGTATATCTGACTAGAACCCCTAACAAGATATCGATTCGTCCGTTTCCTCCCTTAAATCGTATGTTTACTATTCCCACTCTATCCATGGGACTGTATTTCTATTACATAAATATTTTACATTCAATACAAGTTCAGTAACTATATTTACTATATTATCAATGAATAAATAGTTTTTTTATTAAAAAATAAATATCGGTTTTCATTTTTTTGGTAATCAATAAAAAAAATTTAGAAACAATAAATTATAAAAAAAAAATAAAAAAAAAATTAATATAATGTTAACGAAAAAATATGAAAGCAAATGTTACTGAAAATTTATGATTTGAGTTATGAAATACATCATTATCACAGAATAGGTTCAAAACCTGTCCTTTTCTCTTATTAAGATGTGAAAAATGTAAGTGACATATAAATTCAAAATAAAAGAATATGTTTTCAAAGAAAAATATAATCTGCTGGGCTGATATAAAGGTTACCCATAAAATTTAAAACTATACGTAAGAACAAAACGCATCTCATTCTCGTTAGATCACTGAAGTCAAGCCTCATTGGGCGCGGTCAGTACTTGGGTGAGTGATCACCTGGGAACACCGCGTGCCGTTGGCATTCACAAATTTGGGACCTGAATGGCCGAGTGTCTAGCGCTCTGGCGCTCGGTGCGACAGGTTTCGGGTTCGAATCCCGGCGGGGCCATGGATGTTTGTATAGTGGTTCGGAATCCACTTTAAGCCGTAGGTCCCGGTCTCCTATGACTGTAAGAGCGTCACGGAGCCAAGGTCAGACTTCTACCTACGGGTGCTCCATCACAACAGAAGCTACTTCCTTCCCCTTCAACCATGAGTACGCATGGGCTCGTGGGCTTGGCCAGCCAAGTGGGATAAGAAACAACAACAACACAAAACGCATAACAGCAGCCTTAAAAATAAAAAAAACTTTAAGAATTTTTCTTGAAAGAATCTCAATTTCGCTTTGAAATGAAATTGTCTTTACTTTCACCAGACGATCTTTCAGAACAATTTTACATTATTTAACTATTTAATAAGATAATTATTAGCTCGTGAAAGAAATTTTTAAAAAATGTTATACTTGAAGAAGTTCGTGAAAGAAAAAAAATAAACTAATAGCTCGTGAAAGAATTTTTAAAAAATTAACCAATAAGAATAATTGAAAGTCGTCCAAGACACGAAAATTCTCGCTCCTCACAACAATATTCATAATTGTATAGCTAATAATAAGTGTAGTTATGTTTTTATTACTTGTATGAAGCGAAATGTGCGCAATAATTCTGAATAAATTCTATATTACAAATTTAAATAATCTTTTACTAAAACGATTACCAACTGAAACTTAAAAAGCAACATATTTAAATACAATTTGAATATATTGTTAAATTTATCTTTAAATTCTTACGGATCTAATTTCGTATAAATTCAAAGATATTTTGCTTGACGAATAAGAAAAATTATTTAATTTTTACGTCTGCATACTTTACTATGCATATTTTAAATAAAATCAATTATTCTCCAACAAACGCAAAAAGTTATAAGTAATTTTGTTCTTATTTTTATTTATTTATTTGCCGTTTTAAATTTAACATGAATAGAACGCAAAAGAAAAATATATTAAACTTCACTAAATATATTCTTTAAAATTATATTAAATCTGAAGGAACACATTAAAATTTATTACAAATGAGGGCATGTTTATTTAAAAGTCTCGCATATATTTATTGAAATACATTCTTTAATTTTATTAAAATTCATTAATAATAAAGTTACGATAAATTTTCTTGAAAAATCATGAATTATGAATAAAGTCGTGAATACATTTTGTAACTCTGACACTAAAGTTCCTCATTTTTATTTTTGTTGCATGCATTTTAAATACGAAGTTACAGATATTTAATTAAATGTAAATTCTTTTCTTTCATTAAAATCATAGAATCTACAAATTAATAGAAATATTTCCCTTTATTGTAATTAGCAAAGATAATAAATATTTTACGTTTTAATTAAGAATACTGATTTGGTATTTCTTAAAGAATATTAATTTTATATTTGGATTTCAAAGTTTTGAAAGGAAAAAAAAAAGGTTAAGATAAACTCCTTAATATATTCTCTGCAATTAAATTAAGTAAATGCAATTTGGACTTCGACAATTAATTCTTCTTCCCTAAATTATTCAACAATATAAACTATGTAGTGTTCAGGTTGGGCAACCAGATTGTAATTGAGTGTGCTTGGGTTGAGATACTTGAGGCAGTGATTGGAGAACCCACAGCTTTATTGACACACGTACAAACGCCATGCACATACCCTTAGACGCAAACAATATTTAACATTTAAAGACATATAATTATAGAATCGAGGAAGGATTTCCCTTCTAAGCCGAAACCCAATACTCAGGTACGCGCAGGATGCGCGAAATATGCTTCCTCACCGGGTGAGAATCAGTAGGCCAATTAATACCATGAATACCTATCCTCTCCGGATGAGAGACTATAAACTAATCGTTTATCAGCGGGAGCACAGATTTTGCTGTACTTCCTGTCGGGTAAGAGTCTCGAGGAGCATTTCTCCAGAACATCACAGGCGGCGCTGTTGCCAGTTGTAGGAGGAAGTAAGAGAAAGGTTCTTTAAAATCAATGCAACTTAGAAAATACTGCTGAGCGATTGATAATCTTCTCTGGATCATAATTATATGAGAAATAATTTCTATTTTATAATACTTAATATTTAAACATAATATATGATAAAAAAACACAATTATATAACATTAATTATTCAATATCAATTATCATTAAACATAAAAAACATAATTATAATTAAACATGATTTATGATAAAAAGAAAACGTGATTAAAATTATCAAACTGCTTTTCATTTTATTCCATAAATTTTATTACTTATAACGTCCCCTTACAATTTTAGATTTTTTATTTTATAAAATCTAAATATATTACTTTATTTAGCAATTTACTAAATTTTGTGAGAAATTTGTTACTGATATCATAATTAAACTAGACGTATTGAAATTGAATTTTACTTTGAATCTTATTAATATGCTGCTCTTATTCAATGAAAAGGGAAATTAATTAGCAGAAAGAAATATAGGTTTATTAAAGTCCATAAGAACGCCACATTATAAATATAAAGAAAACTTATCACTAATAACAGAAAATAAAATATATTAATCCATCATTTTTAGTAAATAAATTACAAAATTGATCAAATTGAATATTGATTTTAATAATGTAAAAAGTTAATATAACTAAATGTGCAAAATATTATATAAATGTAGAAATATAATGCAATTGAAATCATTTCAAAATAACAGGCTAAAGCTACCTGTAGCTGCAAATGATAATGTTCTTTAAAAATTGCTGAAAAATTGTAAGCAAAATTTTCTCTTCAAATCAAATCATCAGTAAATAAATGTAATTTTCGTATTGTAACCAGGCTTCCTCCTACGCAACCATGTTTCCTCTCACGCATTAGCAAGAACGGCCCATGTGGCCTTCAAAAGAAATGATCAGTAGCCTTACGGCCCCTTGTCCTCAGAAATAGCTGGTACAGCTGAGAAACGTTCAGTTTACAGTCTCTCATTCCGAGAAGAAATATATTTAACACAACCCTGTTTAACAGATAGCCTACAGACTCTCACCTGGAAAGAAATTATATTTCACGCACCCTGCGCGTAACCGAGTTTCGGGTTTTTGGCTTAGAAGTGGAATCCTTCCACGAATCTATAATTAGTCTTTAAGTGAGTTAAATATTGTGTGTGTGTGTGTGTGTAAATAAAGCTGTGAGTTCTCAAACCTGCGTCTCAAGTCGCAACCCTACCACACGCAGTTACAATCCAGCTGCCCAACCTGCACACAACAATATTTTTTAAAACTTAAAATTGAGGGGAACATTTAAAAATTAAACTTGTAGAACTTTCTACGGATGCAGGTATTTCTTTTAAGTTTTCATTCAAAAGAATTTAATAATGCTACTCAATGCATATATGTGTTGCTTGAAATACATGTTTTTTGCGCCTTGATATAATTTTAAAAGGAAATAAAGGACAACATTTGCACTGAAATGCACAACTACGCACTAATATGTGTTCATCTCATGTTAAACTAGGCAAAAATGTTTACTACAACTCGGTACCTCGTGGCACTTTGCATATTTATTTCCACCCATAAAAATTCAACAAAAAGTAAACGGAGGGAAGAAAAGAAGGCCTTATCTCAAGAGGAAGAAAAACAGCAATGATAAGTACGCAATTCAAATAAAAGATCTTTAAAAAAGGACCTAGTTTTTACCTGAAAGGATGAACAAATGACCTCGTATTAAATTGTTGGTTTCAAAGCTTCCGCTCTTTAACAATAACAGTGATATCAAATATTTTAGAGAATTATGTATCCTATCTACAATGAAAAGATTTTTCAAGTCCTAATTTGCTAATAAGTTGAGTAAAGCAACTAATGTTTCAAAAACAAATTAGATAATTTAAAAATCATTTCACTTAAATTCACGACAATAAATGTTTCTTCTACTTTTAAAAGAAAACCGTCTTATTTTGGAAACGCATCACAAAATATAACGTAAAATCGAATATTGAGATCGATATCATAAGAAAGTAGAATATTGAGATCGATCTCATAAGAAAAAGATTAGTTTTTTCTTAAGATATTTTATTAATAAAATATCTAAATTTTTAATAGTGTTGGATATATGACTTATACAATAATAAGTAAAACAAAAAAAAAAAACTAAAAGTCAATTCCTACTTTTTTTTCATTATATTGCAGAAAAATCCTTTACAAATAAAGGTGAAATTTTCCTCCTACATCTGGCGCCATCTATTATTAGATACATGCAACTTAAATCTTTTTTTTTTGTTCTAAAGCAGCTAGCAAACATTTAGACAGCTTGGTCTTGGATGCCTTAAGGCAAGCGCTGCACGGACGTTACTCACTTAGCATTACCCAGGGGGCGCGTGTAACTTGAAACTACGGACGCGGAGTAACAATGCCCCTGCAACTTAAATCTAAAAAAAAAACTTAAATTAATTAATTAAATTTAATTAATGAATTAATATTTGAAAAAAATTTATTAACACCAAGTGTCATCCACTCAAGTTCAAAAAAATGTATTTGAACTTGAGTGGATGAATGAAAAGTATTTTATGAACGATTGAACAACTTTGAACAAGATATATTTATAGGGTGAGTGTAAAATAATAGTAGGAATTGAAAAAGGAATGAACAAAATTTACCATGAAGCTTTATTTTTTCTTTCCTCTGTCATTTTTGCTTTCTTGGTACACATTTCAATTAACAATAAAAGTTCATTTCTGATTAGAGTTTATTAGGGATTATTTTTCAACCTGACTAATATATTTTCTGACATGAAAATAACATGCAATTTATTTTCCAATATGGGGCCTGATGACCGGGTGACTAGAGCTCTGGCTCTCGATGCCACAGGTTTCGGGTTCGAGTCCCGGCGGTGCTATAGATGTTTACGGCGGTTCGAAATCCGTAGATCCTGGTCTGACATGATCGTAGAGCGTTGCGGGGGTATTGTTATTCCGTGTCCGTAGCTTAACTT